TCCACTCACTCACATGTTTGTAACTATTTGCTTACAGGTCTGTATCCCTCCTGTAACATGAGCTCCTTGAGGGGTTGTGGCTACATCTCCGTTTTTATCTCTAACACTTAGAACAATGTTCAGCACATAATTAGGATCAAAAATGATTGTGGAATAACTCCGTTTACAGTCCAGCAGGAGAGATCAATCATGTACACAAATACAGAAATATAATACAAACTGTGACAATTCCCTTACAGGTAGCAAATGTTACAGCTAGTGAGAGAGCAGTCATGTCTCACTAGATTGAAAGAGAGAGATTTATGGAGGACAGAGTACTTGGACTGGCCTTGTGATACAGGAAGATTTGGAGGTGTAGATAAAAAAGAGAGAAAAAAGAAAAAGTTCAAGGAAAGGTAAACAGGCATGTAGCAAAGTCTGCATGTAGGGGAATAGTGGAAGCTGAGAATTAAAGACAGCGACCATTTGTGGAAGGAACTGAAAAAGTAAAGCCAAGGAGTAAGAATTTTATTTATTAAATAATATACAACTGAGAATCCTTAACACTTTCAAATAGTAGATTAATCTAAGATTTGTTTAACTGATGATTATTTCAAAAAGTAACGATTCGGGATTTCTGGTTCCAGACAAGATGGACCAGGCCCACTATAAGGTAGTCTTTCCTCTTACAATAATAAAAAAAATGGACATAAAACAACAAACAAGCATAGAATGACCCTGAACACTAGCAAGAAGGCAGTCTTCCCAAGTCTTCCTGGGATTCCCCCAGTGAGGGGCTGAGCCTCCACTCACACCCAGCATTGGCAAGGTGGAAAGAGGCAGTGTGAGGCAGGGCAGCTGACACTCTGCTTCCTGGTTTCAGCCAATGGAGAGATGAGCCTCCACACCCACCTACCATCAACAATAACAAATGAGGTGGCATGCCACTTCCCTCCCTCCCTCCTCTCCACTGGTGTCAACAGGGCAGCATGGAATTGAGTTTCTACCCCTACCCTGAAGCAACAAGAGGTGTAAATAAGCCCTCTGCTTCCTCCCTTGCTCCTGTCACTAGAGCCCAACTTATACTTCCTCTTGGAGACAACAATGTGGTGCAACTTGGTGCCCAGCTTTCACCAAGAAGGTATAAGCAGAGCCAAGGGGAGAGCTATCTTTCTGCCCCATTCATCTGCGATGAGGCAGTGTAAACATTCCACTTTTGCAGGGGTACTGGCAGGGAGGCCCAATGGGAAGTTAAACATATACACCCACATAGCTCTAGTGGTATACCTCAACAACAATGCCTGCTACAAAAGGAATATTTTAAAAGGAACCAGAGTCTCATAATATCCAAAATGTCAAAAGATAAAATTACCCAATACCCAGGAAAATCACAACTTAAGTGAGAAAAGACAATCAATATACGCCCCCAAATCAAGATGAATCAGATGCTGGAATTATCTGACAATATTTTTAAAGAAACCATAATAAAACTGCTTCAACTAGCAATTATAAATTCTCTTAAAACAAATTAAAAAATTAGAAAATCTCAGTAAAGAAATACAAATGAAGTAATACATGATACAATATGGATGAACATAAAAAACAGTATTCTAAGTGAAATAAGCCATAAATGCACACACATACACACACCACCACATATTTTATGATACCATTTATAAGAAATGTCCAGAAGAGGTAAATCTATAATGATGGAAAGTAGATTTGTGGTTGCCTGGATTAAAGGTGGTATGGAATGAGGAGTTACTCTTAGTGAGTACAGTTTTCATTTTGAGGTAATGAAAATGTTAAAAAATTAGATTATGATGATGTTTGTGCAACTCTATAAACATACTAAAAACTACTGAAGTGTATACTTTATGGTACATAAATTATATCTCAGTATAATTTAAATTGAAATTCAAATTAATGATTACATTTTGTTTAAGAAAGGAAGCTATAGAACTAAAAAAGTACAGTAACTGAAATAAAACCTTGCTGCATGGGCTCAACAGTGGAGTGGAAATGACAAAGGATAGAATCAGTAAACTTGAGGACAACTCAATAGAATTCAACCAATCCAAACAACAAAGAGAAAACAGACTTAAAAAATGAACAGGAATAGCAGCAAAACATCCATCATCAGAGTCCCAGAAAGATACGAGAAACAGAATGGGCTTTAAAGAGTATTTTAAGAGATAATGGCTGAACACTTGCCAAATTTTTCAAGTACTGAAAGAAAAGAATTGTCAACCATGAATATGATATCCAGTGAATGATAAGGGGAAACAAAGACATTCTCAGACAAAGGAAAACTAATAGAATTTTTTGTTGGCACATCTACCCTTAAAGATTGGCTAAAGGGAGTTCTTCAAGCAGAAAGAAAATGATAAAAGAAAGAATCTTAGACCATCATGGAGAAGGAAATAAGAAAAAATAGAAGTAATTTTTTTGGTTTTAGTTTCATTAATTTTTGTCTTTACTAATTCCTCCCTTCAAATTATTTGGGGTTATTTTTCTCTTACTTTTCTAGTTTCCTGAGGTGGAAATATAGATTATTGATTTGAATCTTTTCCTCTCTTCTTACATAAGCATTTAAGGGTACAATTTCCCTCTCAGCACTGTGTTAGCTGTTAAATTTAACATATTTTAGCATGTTACATTTTATTTTCATTTTTATATATCTTTATTCAAAACACTGACCCACTTACAATTACTTCAAAAAATAAAATACTTAGGTATAAATCCAATAAAACATGCATATGCATATCCCCAGGTTTTCAAAATGCCGATGAAATAAACCAAAGATGACCTAAATGAATGAGAGACATACCATGGTCATGGATTGGAAAACTCAACCTAGTAAAGATGTCAATTCTTTCCAAATTGATTCTATAGGTTCAATGTAATTCCTATGAAAATGACAAGGTGTTTTGGGGACACAGACCACCTTATTTCTTCAATTTATAGAGAAAGGGACAGAATCTAAACAGTTAAAACAACTTCGAAAAAGAAGAATCAAGTAGGAAAAAATACTCTACCAGACATTAAGGCTTACTAAATAGCTATGATGGTCAGCATGGTATTGGCAGAGGGATAGACACAAAAAGATCAATGGAATAGCTAGAGGACTCAGAAAGAGACTCACCCAAACATGCCTAAATAACTGTTTTACAAAGGTGCAAAGGAGGAAAGACAGACTTCAACAAATGGTGCTGGAGCAACTGGACATCCATTGAAAAAATATAAAACTTAAACTAAACCCTATATATTATTTTAAAAATTAACTCAAAATGAATCACAGAAGTTAATGTAAAACTATACAACTTTTAGGAAAAAAATAGGTGAAATCTTCAGGACCTAGGTCTAGGTAAAGAGATTTGACACCAGAAGCATAATCCATAAAAAGATAAATTGGACCTCATCAAAAATTTAAAATCTTTGGTTTATAAATGACCCAGTGAAGAGAATGAAAATAAAAGCTGCAAACTGGGAGAAAATATTTGCAAACAACATATTCAATAAAAGACTTGTATCTAGAATATAATTTAAAAACTTGCAAAACTCAACAGTAACAACAAACAAAAAACAAGCAATCTAGAAGATGGGCAAAAGAGACAAACAGCTATTTCACCAAAGAGAATATAGAGACGACAAATAAGCACATGAAGTTGTTCACCACCATTAGCCATTAGGGAAGTGCAAATTAAAACCACAATGAGATATCACTACACAACAATAAAAATGGCTAAAACAAAACAAAACAAAAACTCTATCGAAAATACCAAATGCTGTTGAGGATGCAGGAAAACTGGATCGCTCATTTTCTACTGAAAGAAATGTAAATTTGTATGGCCACTCTGGAAAAGAGTATGTCATTTTCTTTCAAAACCAACATGCACTTACCACATGCAACCCAGCACTCCTGGACATTTATTCCAGGGAAAAATGAAAACTTGATTCCACACATAAACCTATGCACAAATGTTTATAGCAAGTTTTATTCATAATGGCCCCAAACTGGAAACAATCCAAATATCCTTCCTGTCCTTCAATGGGTAACTGGTTAAATTATGGTACATCTGTACGATGGAATGCTACTCAGCAATAAAATGGAATGGATAATTGATACATGCAACAATGTGAATGGATTTCAAAGATATTATTCTGATCAAAAAGAAAAAAAAGGCCAATCTTCAAAGATTATATACTACATTCCCATTATAAAGCATTAACCAAATGACAAAATTACAAAGATGGAGAACAAATTAGTGATTGTTAGGGTTTAGGAACTTGTGGAGGAAAGTGGTAGCTCTGACTATAACAGGGGAGCAAAGGAATCATGTATCTTGACTGTGGTGTTGGTCAGTCATGAGAATCTACATGTGATAAAACTACTACAAATAAATGCACATGTGCACACACATGCATGTACAAGAGTTGAAACAGGAATAAGGTTGATGGATCGTATCCATGTCAATGTGTGATACTGTACAATAGTTATGCAAGATGTTACCACTGAGAGAAATTAAGTAACGAATATATGGTATCTCTATTATCTTTTATAACTACATGTAAATATATAATTATCTCAAAATAAGAAATTAAAACAAACGAATGATCCAGTATATATTAAGAGCTACAATCATGCTTATAACCTGACTGACAATTTCAGTTCAGGAATCAGCAGTCATTTATCTTTTCAACACCTATGTGAGGCTCTCTGGAACATGATGGAGTTTCAGTGGTAAAAAATACAGACATGGACCCTGTCTTCATAAACTTCCAGACTAGGAAGTATGAAAAGAGCTCAATGTATGAAGAGGATCATTACATCTTCGGTTATATGAGTGAGAACTGGAATCAAATTTAACAATGAGAAAGGTTAAATAATTTTTGGAATATTATATACCCACTGAAATGACTGTGAATACTTAACAGAATGGAAAAATTCTTAAAACATTAAGGAGAACACTAAATTTAAAAATGACTCTCATTAGTATTGACAATTAATGACAACTTACTTTATATGAATAAACTTTTATTGAATTTTAGATAATTAGAAAGAATAAAGAAATGCAAGATAAATGCTTCCTACACAGCATCTGATAGTATCTTCTTTGCCACAGTATTTTCACTTTTCTTTATAAAAAGTATAGACATTCATTTATTTAAATTTTTACAAAGTCGAGAACCATCAAATGGAAAAAATAAGTAATGCTAAAGTAAATTCATCTTTTTATCAATATTGAAGTGGTTGCAATGGTTAGGTTCTGAGAGTGGCCTTCTTGGAAAAACAGTGTATGCAGCAGCTGATGGTTTCCATTCATTCAAATAACTGAAAAAAGGTCAGAAGGCCACTCCCTGTGAAGACTATGCTTGCAGGAAAAGAGGACAAAAAGCATGGTAGGAAGGGGGAGTAAGAAAACACATCCAAGAAGAAAATACACTCCTATGGAATCATGGGGTCAGTGTCATAAATAATTTAGAAAACAAATCTGGGAAGAAATTTGTAGGTTGCTTGAAGTGTGATTAAGGCGAGATAGTCACTATGTAGCATAATAGCCAGATCTACATAGCACAAAATAGAGTGGGGAGTTTATAAATCAATCTGGTGTACTGCAAGGCCAGCCAATTAACCACAAAAGGAGTCTCTTTACAGTGTTGTAAACTGCATTTGGGCAACACTACAATCTTGAGCTGTCACAGATAGAGGGCTGTCCCTTCCAGGGGCACTCTGGGACACACTCCTTTTGTCTCAGTCTTATCTCTTTCAAAACAAAACAAAACAAAAACAAAACAACTCCTGTCCTCCCTGTAACAACCTGGTAACCTCTATATGTCAGACAAGGAGAAAGTTATCTACGCTAGTACAAAAGGCATCAGGTGTTGCCCTCATTAAGAGTAACAGCAAGAAGTTAGAGTGACAGCAAGGAAGGCCTGGAAAGCCTTGCTCTGAGAGGCTGCCCGGGGCAAGGCTACAACCCTTAGCCTCACCTTCCTGCTTCCGTGCTGCCCACACAACCGCGCACTTTCAGGATGGTATGTTGTACCTCCTGTGGGCTCACTAGACACAATCCCTGAAAAAGGTATTAAACAAATTGTCTTTCCTAGCCCAATGCCTCTCATGTGTTGGGAAAAAAAAAAGGTTTTCTTTAAAAAACTATTTTTCCAGGAAAAAATGAACAGTAATTGCCATGGACCTGTAACAGATCCTAGAATAACATAGACAGGTAACAATCTGTCAATATAGCAATATTCCAAATATGAAATTCATGGTTCAGGAAGAGATAGATAAATAAATAAATATTGAGGGGCTTCTCAAAGAAGTTTCCTTTGTTTTCCCCTATTTCTTACTTAATTTTGTTTGTGTAAAAAGTTTTGATTATATGATAGAAGAGCCAGCACTGTTGGGACCAATGTTAACCGTTTACGCCATTAAGCCCTCTACATAATGAGTGGGGAGAGGCAGAACATATCACAGGGTTGCTCATTATTTCCTTAAAGACCTATCTTTTTAAATAATTTCAATATTTAAACTCCATCTGGCACTTTAGTCTTTTGAAAAATTATTAAGTTAGGCATGAATTAAAGAACAAGCCCATCTGGACTGCAGTTTGGGTTTTAAGTGCTATTCTGCTCTTATATCTTTTTCCTTGGCTTGGCACATCTTTGAGATTCAGCTTTTTGAATAGAACCCCCGGACACCTGTGGTGGGAAATCAAGTCTTCATGGTGGAGCATTCCAGTCCATTCCACACATCTCATGGCCAGGTAACAGCATCGCCTTCTTTGTGCTTTTTACTAATATAATTACAAGGAAAGTGTTTCTTTCCCAGCACCTGCCCACCCCACCCTCCTCCTTGTATGGAGGCATTCCATTTATTCATTTCTGAACACAACACCCCTTCGTGTTCTATACCAGGGACCCGGCCCGACTCTGGGCTGGCACCATGACAGGTACGGCACCGATTCGCTCGAGTGTTGCGTGGCTCATGGTGTAGGAATGTGTGTGCTGAGGCCGAGGCTTCCTGCTGACCGAGCCATTGCTTCTGGACATGACCTGCGGCGACGACTCCCTGTTGGCTGTCACTACCAGAGTCTTATGTGGACCTGAGACTAGATGGTTCCCATTGGCATAAATGGATGGTATACTGGCATTGCCTGACTGGAGGGAGAAAGACTGGCGCAAGTCATTGAAGTGGTTGAATGACTCTGTGTTTCTATGAACTTTTGGATTGTTGCTCCAGTATCGACTGTTGTAAGTATTGGAAGAAGTCAATGTGTTGTTCTCTGAGGAGGATATCTCAGTGTGGAATGCTTTGGCAGAAGAAGAACATTTAGGTGGAAGATCATCCTCTCTGAAAAGGAACAAAAATAAAGTTGTCATTAGGATTTATTTGAGGTTAATCCTATCCTCCTACCCAGGACTTTTTCTTTTCATGCTGAGCCTAATATGTCTGAAACACAAATCCTTAGGAGAGACCACTCAATCATGAAAGCAAACAGGCAACCCTGGATGGCCTTGGCTTTGACACCCATTCCCTTTGAGATAACGGTCAAGAAAATCTCTTCTCAATTGCTCAGTCTCTAAGAGTAGAAAAGGAAATATCAAATCTCTTGAAGAATGTCTCTTCCAATAAAACTAATATATATATATATATATATATATATGCATAAAGATTTATATAATTTGTAAATACTTAATTTTTTTACTATAAATAGGAAAATAGTCCATGAAGAAATCCACTGAGTTAGTTGCCATAAAATAGCCAGGAAATCAAGCTATGGGTGTAGAGAACTTCAGGAGATAATTAGAGTTGGCCTGATTTTATTGCCTTTTGGGGTTTCAGAAATCACTGTGGTACGCTGATGAGAGGTTTTCCTCAGTAATCTTATGGTGGGATGGAATCTCTCCCTGCATACGCCTAAAGCCTTAAGAATTTCAAGAGGCTGAGAGAAGTCATTAATTTAATTTAAGATGTTAAATAATTGACTTGACATTTATTGAGTACCCTCTAACTAGATGTTTCATGTTAAAAAAAAAAGAAAGAAAGAAAACAGGTGCTACACCTAAGAAGTCTATAGTCAAACGGGGGTAGCAATCAATGCAAGAACATCTGCAAGTCTAAAAGGCTGGGTGAGGGGCTAAAGACAATATATGTGAGAAGGTGATGCCTGGACTAGTTTTGAATCCAGTCAAAGAATTTAGCAGAGATGGATCAAAGGGAAAGAAATATGATCCAGAAAGAGAACAGGGGCTTGAGTAAAAGGGCTTACGTAAAAGCCCGGAGGCATGGGAAACTGCAGAAGAGATGAAGGCAGAGTGAGATGGAAGGGTGAGATAAGATGAGCAGGTAAGGGTCACACCCTGATGGGCTATGTACATTTCACTGAGGAGACTGGAGCCATTAAGGCATCTTCAACAAGGCTATGCCACAATGAACTCTGAGTCTGAGCCTGAACCCTTGAATCTCCACAATACACCAAAAGTCACTTTTCTTTAAAGGATCATTTTGGCATAGTGTTCCTAAGATGTTCATATTCTTGTCTGAACTGTCTTTCTGAGTCATACTGCTGGGGCCTATCTGTGCACAGGCACTGGTATGCTCTTACAGGGTTTCCTCTTGGTCTATTGTCTCATCCATCATAAATGTCAATGTTAAATGCATGTTTTAAGCTAACTTTTCTATTGTGGCAGCCACCTAAACCCACATATCCTGGAGCTGTGGAGATGCAGGAGAACTCTTCACTTGTATCCTCCTCGTTGGGCACATGCTAGACTTTACTCTCATTTGTGATCCAGTGAATAAAGTTGAGTAGTACCATGAGGAAAAATGATATACAAGAAAGGATCATTTGGCCACTTTAATTTTTAGCCATCAGAGTTATAAGATTAGCAAAGAAATCTTAACTACCAAAATAAACAGAAATACACATTGGCCATGAAGAACAAATTACCCAACACACAAACCTTATTTCATTAGGAATTTCTTCTTCTTCCTCCTCTTTATTTTTGCTTCTCCAGTAATAGAATGCCCCTAAAATTAGTGCAATGCAAAAAATGATAATAACTGCACCAGTGCCAATGGCTCCAGCAATTAGTCCAATGTTCCTGGGCTGGGCTGAAAAATATATTTAAAGAAAAGAGAAAGAGAGAAATAGCATATACCCATGCAACTGTATAAACATAGAAGTTTACTGAAGAATTTGCTTAAAATGTACAAAATTGCCTTAAATATGTCATCCATATAAAGTTAAACCTCAATTAACTTTCTACATCCCAAGTGGGTTGGACTAACACATAGTAGGCTCTCAACATTTGTTGAATGAATAAATAATTAAATAACTTGCACAGCTTTAGGAGAGTAATACCCAGAGCAGGGCAGAAAACAAATGGCACCTATCTAAATCGCCTGATCTGTCCAAAATGAACCCTAGTAATCAGTGGATACCTTATTACCTCATCCTAGCCAAATGACTCCCTTTGCAACTGGAATTCAAATAACCGAGAATTCTCAACTAAAGAGAAATTATCTGCACTGCCTATTTATAACCTATACAACCAATTAAGCAGATATAAGAAATTAGGAAGAAACACAAGAAGGTCTGTTATACCCATAAGATTATTACAAATTTTTATAATGTCTATAGACATTATAATGTCTATAAACAATAAGAATTGGTTTAGGCTGTGCATGGTGGTCCACACCTGTAATCCTAGCACTCTGGGAGGTGGAGGCAGGAGGATCACTTGAAATCAGGAGTTCGAGACCGGCATAACCAAGAGCAAGACCCCATCTCTATTAAAAATAGAAAAAAAGATAGCTGGGTGTGGTGGGGTGCACCTGATAGTCCCATCTACTCAGGAGGCTGAGGCAGAAGGATCACTTGAGCCCAGGAGTTCGAAGTTATAGTGAGCTAGCCTGATGCCACAGCACTCTAGCCGGGACAACAGAGTGAGACTGTCTCAAAAAATAAAAATAAATAAAAATAAATAAAAAATAAAAAGAACTGGTCTGCTTCTAATGATCCTGAAAAGAGAGATACTTTGTCACAAAGATTATCATTTTGTTAAGGCTGAAAAGTATACTAAAACACTTATAAAATATTTTCAATAATGATTAAACAAACTTCTATTAATCTTAAGAAAACCTCAAATCAATTAAACAGAACCCTTCATTTCCTATTTTAACAAAAATCTTAGAGTTTCAGACCCAGAGTTGACATCAGAATTTCATATACTTACGTGAAATAACCTGGAGATCCAGAAGACAGGTGCTGGTTCCAATGGCATTAGAAGCCACGCACTGGTATAAACCTGAAGACAGGGCACTGATGTTCCGGATGGTGACTGTTCCCTGGACCTGGTCTGTCAAAAAATAATAGTCATGTGAGAATTTGGCAGAAATAATAAGAAAATCAAAAAAAAATTAGCAAAAGACTAGACTATAAAAACAGATTAACACTAGAGAGCTATCAATAAATTCCTTTTTGGGAGGCAGAGAAATTTTGAGTGCATGAATGTTAAAGACTAAAAATCACTACATCACTTTAAAGACCTGGAACTATGGAGGACTGTCCTAAATAAGAACAATCTTAAAACTTAATCTGAGATTAGCACGTAAAGTCCTAAATGTTATTAAATAGTAGCCTCCCCGCAGGCAATGGTGGCTAATGCTTATCCTAGAGAATTTATGGTTAGTAGTACTGAAGTTTAATTTTGAGGAAATACAGTGACATAAAGATCAAGTTAAACTTATTATAATAATGTTCACTTTATACTCGATGAAGAAACTATCAACTCTATGCTCTAAGGTATAGATTGCTACTCCCTTACAATAATGACTACACCTGTGTTAGCTCAGATCCTCCAAGAAGCAGGCTCCAAGACAAGCACAAGGTCTATTGAAGGAGACACCAGTAAAGGAAATGCAGAGGAAACTGGGGAAGGCAGGGAGAGCCTCAGACTGCAGTGCAGGTCCAACCTCTGGGAAGCAGAGAAGGAAGGAAAAAGATGGGGTAGGAAGAGTTGCAGACTGCAGCATAGTTTTAAGGGAGTTTCCACCTGCCAGATGGGGAGTCCTTGAGCCAAAGCCACCCGTTCAAGGAGCCCTAGGCCTTACAGAAACAGGTCTGTAGTATTAGACCCACTGCACCTCATCACTGGCTGGGAGCAGCCCTTGGGAAGCTTCGCCTGGGTGAGCAGCAGTGGTGGATTCCAAGGGGAAGCAGCTGGGGCTGTCAGTCTATTGTATCTCCACATTGGGAGGTTTGAACAATGTGCTTTCAAGACTACTGTATTGGTATTACCAAGAAAAGTTTCAATAGTTCACCTTTTAGTAATTCATCAACACTAGCGTAGTTTGATTATTTATTCCTATAAAATGTACATGACATAATAATAAAACTAAAGTTAATAATTGTTGGCCGGGCGCGGTGGCTCACGCCTGTAATCCTAGCTCTTGGGAGGCCGAGGCGGGCGGATTGCTCAAGGTCAGGAGTTCAAAACCAGCCTGAGCAAGAGCGAGACCCCGTCTCTACTATAAATAGAAAGAAATCAATTGGCCAACTGATATATATATTAAAAAAAAATAGCTGGGCATGGTGGCTCATGCCTGTAGTCCCAGCTACTTGGGAGGCTGAGGCAGAAGGATCGCTCAAGCCTAGGAGTTTGAGGTTGCTGTGAGCTAGGCTGACGCCACGGCACTCACTCTAGCCTGGACAAAAAAGTGAGACTCTGTCTCAAAAAAAAAAAAATTGTTAATTATTACGCCAATAATTGGGTAAGCTTTCATATGTATTATCTCAATCTTTACAATAACCCTATGAGGTAGGTTTATTATTAAGGCCATTGAACAGTCAGGGAGACTGAAGCTTTAGATGGGCAGTAAGTTTACACAGTGGTTGTTAGGAATGGGAACTGGATGGAGGGATGTCTTACTTCTAAGGTCTAGGCTTTACAGCCTCCCTTAGGCAGCTAAGATAATATCAATACATCCAAAAAGCTCAACCATTCCAAATAGCTGCAAATTTAAAAGTTGAAAAGCTTCCTAATGGCACAAATAAAAGAACAATTCTGGCACAAAGTCCAAGTATGCCTGGGCAGCACTTGGAGCTATCCCCACCCTGGACTGACTTATTTTTATATGGAACTAAGATGAGCTATCTCGTTTCTGCTGGCAACTTTTATCTCTATCTAGATCAAAGGCAGAAGCAGAGAGGAGTCAGCAAATGTAGATCCAACCACAGTGCATTTATTAGTTCAATTGTTTAATAAATAAATATTTATTGAGCACCTTCCTTTGTGCTGGGTTTTCTGAGGATGCTGATACAATGAGGAATAAGACAGACACAGTCTCTTACCTTAATGAGACAAGCAGGCAAGCAACAGGGTAAGTGTCAGCAGGGCTAGAGAATATCAAGTGCTAGGGGAGCACACAGGAGGGACATCTAATGAGGGCCTGGGAAGTCAAATAGAACATGGGAGAGGAGAAAACAATTGCCTCCTCAGAAATTACCCGGCACACAGAAAAGTGCTTACTAAATAAAGGTGATCAATCATAAATAAAAGGGCTACCTTCTCTTTAGTATCTATTGTGTTCCCCTGTAGTAAGCTTTAAATATGTCTCATTTAACAAGCTCAGGTTTTATATTCCCTACTTTTGAAAGATAAGGAAGCTCAGAGAAGCTATGCAGTTTTGAAAGGGTATAGAGAAAGATGGCTGAATAGAAAGCTATGCGATTTGTCCAAGATCACCAAGTACACAAGCAGCAGCAGTCTTTACAATCGGGCGTGTCTAAGTCAAAAGCTCATAATCACCGTATGTACAACTGGCTTTCCAGTAAGTCATTTAAAACCATATTATTCTATAGTGTGCATCTACAGGATATTTCCTAACCATGCAATGTTCCAATGCTGTATTATAAACGAAGCCATCTGCCTAACTCCCTCTTCATTCAACACATGCCCTAATGTCATCATATACGAAAACCATAATCTCTGTACAACAACCCTACAATTCCACACATGGTGGTGGTGGTGTTTTGTGGGTTTTTTTGTGTTTTTTTTTTCTTTCTTTCTGTAAGCCCTGAAATTCTAAAAATTTGATGAGTTCACACCAAACCAGTAATTTTGTTGACACTTCTGTAGAGACAATTAGGGAAATTTTAAACAGCTCCTGTAAGCAGCACTCTAACATGTAGAAAGAGATAAACTCTAAAGATTACTGCTGTAAAGTTACTTTTAAAAGGTAAAGTTACTGTTCTTCCTGTTGACTCTTCAGATGCTGATACCATGGGCATGTTGCTCTAGGAAAGTATTATTAAATGAGGTTGACACACCATGGTAGAGCTAACTCAGAATGTAATCAGGGACTGAGAAAGACACATTGATAAGGGAGGATTGACCAGAAACAAAACAGGGTTGTTTATGTAGACAGGGCAAAGCAGAGATGGCAGCTACTCTCCAGCAAACATCAGACTGCAGCCACAGAGCACCCAGCTCTTCCTGAAACCAGCAGGGATAATTGCTCAATCTGTCATTTCACTTAGCTGCTCTAGCATAGAAGTAAACTGATGGAATCAAGTCAGAGAATAATTTTTTTTTTCTTTTAAAGAATAGGGAAAGTTCAACTGTGTGTAACTGCATAGTTTGGAAAGCTCAAAGGACATCACGCCCCACCCCGTTTTAGTTCACAGCAACACCGTTCCCCATACAAGCTACGCGCCTGGTCTGTAATGCCCTTCCCAGTTAGAAAGAAACCAATGTGAGAGTATATTTCCAGTTCCATCCTTTCCCCTTAGTTCCAGAGCGCCACCTCTGGCTGCCTATAAGATGGTGTATCTGCTGAGAATATGTGTGCCGGAGTCAGACAGCCCGGACGTAAATCTACACTACCTCCTATTAGCTATGATTTTAGGTGTGTGACCTGTTCTTCATCTATGTTTTAGTTTCCTCATCTGAAATATTGAGCTACCAAAGTGCCTACATCTCACAGGTTTCAGTGAGGACTAAACAAGATAATGCACATAAAAAGCTTACTACAGTGGCTGGTAATGTTTTCCATTCGGGAATTCCTCCCTGGCATTTCTTGGGAAATTCATACATTTTCTGAATCATGGGAAAAATCAGTCAAGAAATTTGAAAAATGTCTAGTGTCTCCAAATTCCCAACAGATATTAATCTTTATGATTTAAGAATGAGAGATAAGGATTCCTAGACTACAAATTATTCTGTATTTTAAATGATTTATGTATTTTAAATAATGAGCGACCATAATAATATGCAGTGAGCATTTCTTATATAAAGGGCAGAAGTATACTGTAAAATGATACAATAGTAAAAGTTATTACATAAAAATTATATATTTCAATGATGTGTAAAAATTATCTCATCTTTAAATAGACATGTGATAATAAGATTGTAAATAAAGGGAATGTTTAAATACAAAATAAATTTCAAATAAAAATCTATTTAAAAACATAAAGATAATACCACAAATACTTAATATGTAAACTCTATCACTCTCAAAAGATAAATTTAAAATACTATACAGCATTGGGCACAAAAAAATTTTATTTCATTTTTGTGTTGATGTTGGTAGAATTAAGATGGAGATTAGGAAGGGATGGGGGGAAGAATCTGTCCCCATTAAGAGAATGTCCAAGAGCACCTTCCAGATGGGTGTTAGGATACATGCTGCTTCACATTCACTCATTTCTTTTAGTCAATGAAAAGAAAAAGAAAAACATCTTGTCTGCTTGCTCTGATTTTGGTTTTGCCACTGAAATAGATATTGCTTTTGCCAATTCAGATTTTTTTTAACACTTTCCCTAGGCATTTATTAAATTTATATATAAATACCCTAGCTCCAAGTCCATTATCTTTTTTTTTATTTCAGCATATTATGGGGGTACAAATGTTTAGGTTACATATATTTTCTGATTTCGTGTTCAGTGTATGCCACAGCGACATCCTTATCTTCTTCCCTTTGCATTTTTGTCATGGAAGCATTCACAAAAAAACCAAAGCTTACAGCAAATATTCAAACATTGGAAAACACCAATGAACATTACTGGGCAATATTTGAATAATGTAATATTCAAATCCCCTGACATTAACATTAACATTACACAAAATCACACATCAAAGTTACCAAGTTAAGGGCTTGTTTTGCTTCTGAAATTTATTGCTTGGAAACTACTCTTGGCACTTACATAAAATATACCATGTATATAAAAATATTAACATTTGCAAGAATGATTCACCATTAGCAAAATATAAAGCCACTAACACACATTTATACCATGGCAACAACTATAAATGCAAGACTAATTGATTAGATCCTGACTGTTTTCTCCTAACCACTT